CTCCCACTTCTTCCGGGAGAGGCTGAAGCCTTCCACCGAGTCCAACGGGCAGGACTGGTTCCCTGTGGGTGACAGGACAGCATCAGCCTTCTCGCAGCCCTCCCCGCACCCCAGCTCTGCCTTTTCCCCTTCACACGCCTTCGATGCCACAGCTACAGCCCCCAGCAGCACCCGGTCCCCGAGCCCTGGGCTGCGGGGGCTCTGCGATCCCCGAATCAATTAGGAGGGACACAAGAGGATTAGTGGTGTCCCCATGGCAAGGGCTGTTGGCACCGATGCTGCACTGTGGGCTCTACTCCCGTGCCAGCACTCTGCAGCTGTCACCAGGGCATAAGGGAGGGCAGCTCCAGCTATGGCAGAGCTCAGACGCAACGCCCCGCCGCAGGGACCCAGCCAGCACTGCTCACCTTCCCCACCACCTCCTCCTGCCCCACCACAGGAGGTCTGGCTCACCCCAGTGAGCTCAGTGGGGTCTGGCAGCCCTTGCTGCAGGGCTGGGGGTGCTGCAGTCGGCGCTGGGCTCCCTGGGCAGCCCTCCCCGCTGCGTCCCCGCTGCTGAGTGACAGCACTAACCTTTCCCTAGCTCTCTCGGGAGAGGGACGCAGTGCTGCAGCCCTGCGCAGTGGGGCTGAGCTGGCATGGGCTGTACGAGCCCAGCACACTGCACATGAGCTGGGGAAGGCCTGGCCGAGGGGGTGAAAAGGGCAAGCAGCAAAGTGGGGGCAGCCTGTGGGGCAGTAGGGTCCCCCCAGCACCTAGGGGCACAGGAGGGATGCAGCAATGGTGTTGCAGTACCCCCGTGGTTTTGCAAAGCCAACCTCCCCGCTGCCGCGCACCAATGTGCCACAAAGGACAGAGATGAGAACACGGCCACATGCCTACCCCTGGCATTACCGAGGCCACCCACGGCCACCACTCTTCCTCCCAGGCAGCTGGCCACAAAGTCAGCTCTCTTCTCCCTCATGCGGATGGCACGGCTCGGCTTGCTCCATGCACCTGGGGGCGAGAGGATGTGAGCATCACCTGCTGTGGCTCCTCTGCGCATACCGAGGCCACGACATCCCTGGGCTAACGGGTCTTCAGGGCCAGGGAGCACAGGGCAGGACCCGCCATGGGTGCAAGGGGCTGATGCTCAGAGCCCAGATGAACTGTGTCCCTGGGGTATGGACACCCCTCACCAAGACCCAGGGAGGCATCCTGGACCCATAGGGGACACTCTCACCCCACCCAGGGAAACAGAGCTCACCCTGCGTGGGATCAAACATCTCCACGGTGTTGACAAAGTGGGGACGGGAATAGAAGTTGTGGGGCCCTGGCTGCTGCAGCCCCCCCAGGCTGAAGACGACGCCGTCGGCCATGGCGCAGGCAGCGAAGGCGCGGCGGCTGGGCAC